CACCAAGGGACATACCAAACCTTCTTTGGTTCTTTCTGTTCTACAGCTCATATCACCTGCTAATGCTATGTTTATTTTCTGTCACTCAGGACCTCCCACCCTTTTGAAAGAAAGAAAATTCCACGACAGGACCAAGAAACAATGAGAACTTATTGTTAAATCAATGATTAAACAGTCAATCCAGAGATTAGCTAGGCATGGTGTTCTCTGACTTTAAGAATGCTGAGGTGCCCCACACCTTTAATCCCAGCACTTGGGAGGCAGAGGCAAGGGGATATCAGTGAGTCCAGCTTGATCTACAAAGTGAGTTCCAGGACAGCCAGGACTGTTACTCAGAGAAACCCTGATCTGAAAAACAAACAAACAAACAAACAAACAAACAAACAAACAAAAAAAGACTGCTGAGGTGGAATCTACAGGGTCCTCCGAGAACTTCCTATCCTGTCCTCAAGACCCAGGCAAAGGCCATATGGGTGGCATGGGTGGCATCCTCTAAGGATACCTTTGCAGATCCTGCCACACATCATGGCTTCAGGATACCCAGCTCCTTGGCAAGGAATATCCCAGAATAATATTATTAAATAGTAATACTATTTATCCTGGGAACACCAAGTCAAGTCCCTCAAGAGAGGGCTCTGGTCTCTCGCTGAATTCCTAAAGAGTAGAGTCAGGTACCTCTCGGCTTCCCTGTGCCCACGCCCAAAGGAGCCTCTCCTAGCTCAAGAATTCATAGTGGTTCCTGGGAAGGGCAAGTGGCTCTTCAAAGGACCCGTTTCCTCTGAGGCAGGGCAGACAGAGAAAGCCAGCTCAAAGGAAGCTGGGCACAGCTAGGGAGGGTTTCCCTGGGATCTCTCGGGAGCCAAGACTGGGGAGGGCACCCAGAACAGGTGGCACTGATGGGCAACGCCCATCTCCTGCTCTGAACCCTGTCTAAACTGTGCCTGGGCAGGGGAAAACAAAAGTTGTCAAGCAGACCGGGCACGCCCCAGCCCAGGGGGAGGAGACCGCAGTATGGAGGAGATAAGAGGGCCTCTCCAGTGCATCTAGCTGCCAGTGCTGCTCAGTTTTCCCAGCCTCCAGTGGTACCCAACTCAGGTGTCTCAACAGCTGCTCCTGGGTGTCTTAGAAGACTAGGAAGCTAAGCCTCCCCTCAAGGTCCTGCCAGACCCACTCGGGTTCTTCCGCAGGACAGCAAAGGGCCACAGGCTCATTCTAAACCTTCCAGTGCCCTGCCCAGGGGGGAGGCGGGAGTGGGGGGAAAGAGGGCAGGAAGGAGACCTTCCCTTCAAGTGTCTTGAGGGGGCTTGAGGAAAGGCAGAGCTGTACAGGAATGCTCTCACTCCCCTGCCCCACCCCCACCGCTGGGGTGTAGAGCAGACAGGGTATGCCTGGATGGAGAGCAGAAACAGATCGGGTTCTACACTCAGAAGACAGACACACAGACACAGACACACACACACACACACACAGAGTCTGCCCATCAGCCCTCCACCCTGGCTTTCCCAAAGAGTAGGGGAATTTTTAAGGACCAGGGAAAGAGGATATCAGGCTAGGAGAGGTCAATCGCCCCCCACCCCTCCCCATGTCTGTCCTTATCATAAAATTCTGACCTTCAGATTCAGTCACTTCAAAACATCACAAAATCATGACCCCCTCCACTGATTTTGCAAATTCCCTCGTCGGGCCAGGTGTCTACCTAAAAGCCTACATGGGGGGGGGGGGAGGCTTAACTGGCACTTTTTTTTTTTTAACCCTTCTAGGAAAGTTAGCAGATTTTGCGATGGAGGACGCCTGCTATGTAGTAGGCCATCAAGCTCATGTTTTCATGTTCTCAACAACCTCTGGAAACCCAGGCTCAGCATGGTTAAGTGATAGACATAAGGCTATTCAGCAAGAACTGTGAGGCAGGATTCACAGGCATCTGATGATGGGGCCTGGGGTTACTATGCGGGAAAAGACGACAGGCAAAAGCGAGAGTCTTTTTCTGCCTTGCTTCCCACTTTCTAAAGGCACTCACTCATTTTTACAACTAGAGATCATTTTCCAGAGGCCTCAAGTTCCATTCCCAGCACCTCATAAACTACCTAGCTCTGCTGTCTTCTGGTCTCCAACATGTGGCATACACTCACTCACACACACAAATTAAAAGTAAAATCAAGCTGGGCAGTGGTGGCCCACACCTTTAATCCCAGCACTCAGGAGACAGAGGCAGGTGGATCTCTGTGAGTTTCAGTCCAGCCTGGTCTACAGAGTGAGACACAGGACAGCCAGGGCTACATAGAGAAACCTTGTTTTGAAAAAAATCAAAATAAAATCAAGAGGCTTGTCTCATAGCCCTGTTTGGCTTCCAGTTTGTAGCAATCTTCCTGCCTTGGTGCTGCGATGACAAGTATGAGCCACCTTGTTGTTGTTGTTGTTTGTTGAATATTATTTTATGGCCAGCAAGTAAAGGCACCTGGCACCAAACCTGATGACCTGAGTTCAATCCTCAGGACCTGCATGGTGGAAGGAGAGAATTCCCCTAAGTTATCCTTTCACACAATCCTTTCACACCCACCCACCCACCCACCCACCCACACACACACACATACACACCCCATAACATGTGCATGCCCAAACATATACACATACATGCACACATACAAAATACAATTTAAATGGAACAAAAGAGACTAAATGTGTTATTTGTTTTGTTTTTCAAGACAGTTTCTCTGTGTAGCCCTGGCTGTCCTGGAACTCACTTTGTAGATCAGGTTGGCCTCGAACTCAGAGATCCACCTGCCTCTGCCTCTCTAATGCTGGGATTAAAGGCGTGAGCCACCACGCCTGGCTTGAGACTAAATACTTTGATATAATTGAAATGATCTCGATCTGTCACTAAAGAGGAGCCATCATTGCCTCAAGGAAGAGTAGAGACGTAGAATGTCCCTAGGATCTGGAAGTGCTCTCCAGGGAACTGGCCCAAGCTGCTCAGAGAGCAGAAAGAGCTTGCCTTGAGTACCGTCAAATGCTCCGTGTGCAGATGACTTAAAACTACCGCACTGGTATAGTAGAAACATCGCTTTCTCCATCCTTCTCCTGCCTCCCTGACCACTAGCTTACACAGACCCAGGCGATCTTCTCCCAAGGCCACTCTAACTTTGCTTTCTCTTAGACAGGCCACAGTTTTTCGGCCGTGCAGCGCAGCTCGGTTCTTCCCACAAACATTTCCTTGTTACCCCGACACACCCATTCTCTCCCGGCTCAGAATGGCTTCAAACACCAAGTCTCTAGAGCCTGCACCGACGTAAGGGTCCCCAAGGGAAGGGACTCGGTATCTAAGCCACGCCCTCCTTACCGGAAGTTCACCTGTTTCAGGTGAAAACCCTCTAAGAGCTACATCGCGGTTACCCCAGTTATGGCCACTTCCCACAGCTCAGGCCCAGTGTGTCCACCAACTGTCCAAACCGAGTAAAAGCACAGCACACTTTCTTTGGCAAGAATTTTCCACTCCTTGCCAAGTCCCACAGTGCAACCCCCACCCATCAGCGTGTAAGACACACTGGGTCTCAATACGGTCCCCTGAAGGTGTCCAAAGCCGCCCCGAGCGTAGAAAGCCCCCCTCCCTTTCTACGAGAGAACCAGGTCCCACCCGCGGACTTCCTGCGTCGGAGGATTAGGAGGCACAAAGGGCGAGCAGGGAGAGCGCCCAGATGGCAGAGGTAAGGGCTAAGCCGCCAAGGTAACACTCTCCAGACGCCGCTGGCGGACGCCGGGTCACGGGAAGCCGTGTCGCCCGGCTCTGCGTCCAGGCGCCTCACTCGAGGGTCCGGGACTGGGTCTCCGCTCACGGTGCCCCCCGCACCCAGCCAGGCCAGACACCTGTTCCCTGTTCCCGAAAGCCAACACGATTGTGCAAACCCGAGTCCCAAGTTTGGTAATCCGTGTGGCGAAACAGGAAACGACAAGTTCTCAGAGCCACTTTCTACAGGTGTCTTTCTCCGGGACGAGCCAAACGTCGGAGATCTGGGCGAGCAAGGCAGACCTGGGTGCTGCCTTCTCTGACCCACCCGGGGAAGCCCAGGGGACTCGGATCCTCGCGCGCCGCGCCGCCCCTGACGGCCCGCGCCCCCGAAGACCGTGTAAAGCCAGGTGGGCTCACCTGCAACCGCGGGCCGGGCCCTGCCCGAGGCCTCGGCGTTCCTCGGCGCCCGTCACCCGCCGCTCCGGTTCCCCGCGCCGGCCCACGGGCTGCAGGGCGGCCGTCTCCTTCCTGCTCACCTCCGGCGCGGCGAGCGGGGGGGGCGGAGCCGCCGCTATTTACATACAGGGCGAGCCTGCCGAGCCCGCGCCCCGCCCCCGGCCCCGCCTCCCGGGCTGAGCTGACGGGGCGGGGGCGCAGCCTGGGAGCGCTCGAGGGCGGGGGCCGCGCTCCGGCCAATCGCGGGCCCAGGAGCGCGGGGCGGGGCAGCAGCGAGCAGACGCACCTAGCGCAGCCTGACCCCGCCCTCACCTGCGCGCACCTGGTCCCAGGACTGCTCACTGCTGCCAGTGTCCCACCACCTCCCGGAAGAGGAAATAGTCCCTGTGTGCCTTCTAGGATGGATGCCAGTTATGAGGACAGGTTCCTCCCGCAGCTGTCGAGTGAGGGGCATAGCTAGGCGGGCTCCTCAAAAGAGCGTTTCTTCCAACTGGAATGACCGGCAGGTGCAGGTCTCAGACCCACGAGTCCAGTGGTACAGGAAGGAAGGGACCTCAGCTGGGAGCCCCCCACTTCCGTCTTCACAGAGGTCGACTGGAGCCCGACATCCAAAGGGCTAGCCACTGCAGCTAGGCTAGTTTTTACTAGCTAGGGGAAAGAACCGTGGGGGCCCCTCTGAGTGGCGGGGGTCCAATCCAAACCTCAGTGTTTGAAGTCAGCCATGCTCTCCCACAGGTTCTCTGGTCCAACCAGGGCTCTCCTCCCCCAGGGTGGACAAATCAGGAATGAAGGGACAGGGTAGTCAAGTAAGTATATCCAATCACAGCAGAAAATATTTTTTTTAATGGCTTTGGCTTTATGGCACGAAGCAAGCACCCCCCTGTTTAAAGGCACAGAGTCCTCTCTTCTGCCCTAACTCCCGGGCCTCTGAAATCAAGTCCTGAGTTCCAAGGGGGTCACTGCCAGGCAAGAGGGAACGGGGCAAGGCCTCACTCCCCTACAAACAGCAGATACCCAGGGCCGTGACCACACTGGCCCAGACAGTTCCTGGTGAGTCCTGTACAGGAGTCAGCTAACATGGTCCCTGAGAGCAGTCCAAGTCCCCCAGAAAAAGCCCATCCTCAGAGCTGTACATTCAGTGCTCCAGATCCACAGGCAGCGTGAAGTCTCTGAAGCTATAGAAGGAGATGTCACCATGATCCACCAGGGCAAAGATCAGGGGAACATCCCCACTCTGGTAGGTCAACCGCTTGAGGCTGCAGAGGTCTGGGACAGGCTCATCAAATCTGCAGGAATACAGATTAAACTGAGACCTAGTCAGAGCCCACCCATGGCCCCCAGCCCCACCCCACCCCCAGGCTTCCAGAGCAGGAAGGCTGTAAGAAGAAAGCTAGGGACCGTGAATACTGGCCCTGGGCTCGGATGTCTACAAACTCCAACTCCATGGCTTTGATGAGCTCTTCGAGAGAGCCCCAGAGCAGAGGGATAGCTGATATGGGTTCTCACCACTCTAACCCAGTAAACCCTTCAAACCAATTCCCTCCTGTTGAGTGAGCCCAGCACTAAAGTGAAGAGGAGACCACCCTAAAATGCCAGTACCAAGGATAGATAGGTGGCACTTAACCCTTCTGGACCCGATTCTTCTCAGGGACTGGCAGGGACCAAGGGATGGATGGGCCGGCAGCAGCCAGGGTACTGCTCAATCATCTCGTACCCACTAATGCACATTCGGACATAGGGTTTGCCAGGGTTGTTTTTCCGGAAGGTAGCCACAGCGTCAGCCTGGTAAACATCGAAGCTGATCTCCAAGCCTCTAGACTTCTCCAGCAGCCTGCGGACCAATGAGAAACGTAACAACAGACTCTCTTCTCTCACCAAACCCTTCCTACTACCAGTTCTACCAAGCAGCCTCACAGGGGCTACACCACCATCTCGTCCTTCTCCCTCTCCCTAGACGCACAGGACAGTAGCTGTCACTGGAAGCTAAGTGTGCGGGCAGGTGTCCCTGGGGTGATCCTCTGACTCACACCCAACTCCAGGAATCAAATCCCAGCTGTCGCTCCACCTGGCAGCCAATGTCATGGAGACAGGGAGCAGAGCTGAGACTCACCGGTAAGCTCCATCAGCAAGGTGTGTTGTCTGCAGCACAGAGACATGTTGAAGGACCGTGGCTACAAGGGCAAGTGAAAACAAGACCTGGAGAAGGGGCGTCAACTTCCTACACACTCCTGCCATTCTGCCCAATCTGCTAACCAGGTTAGGACCATCAGACTTACCAGAATGTGTTTAGTTATGTTCCACACAGCAGCAGTATTCAGGACACTTATCTGGTAATCCTGCTCTACTCACCTACCAATCTCCCATGTTCCCTTGATGCCTTTACAGATTTCTGAACCTGTTACTATACTTAGCTCAGGCCACATACTTAGTTCCTTGTGTTTAAAACCAAGAACAGATAGTGAACTTTCCTCTTATTTGGCTAAAACCTCTGTGGTGCCACCATGTTCCGGCTAACAGCTGTGAAGGGGAGAGACCCACATCTGGTTGCTGGCAACGCCATCCAGCAATCTTGGGTATGGTCTTAAGGGCTTGGGTATAGTTTTCACCCCCACAAGTGTCACTGGCAATGACTCATCAGAAAACCTTTTCCTGTGGGCTCTGCTGGGGCCGCTGTCACCTAGGGAAGTCTGTGCAGGGACACTCCACTGCAGTCTCCTCATACCTTAGGCCCCAGTCACCCTGGTCAAAACATGCCTTTTCCAAAGTCTTATGATCCTTCTGCTCCCAGTGGCCTGTGGGTATAGCAGGTGAGGGTTGGTTACCTGGGGAATCTGCTTTCTCAGGGTTGAGCAAGGGAGTGACAGACTGGCCCCACAGGTGTGGGGGGCGGGGCTGGCTCTTCTGCAGCTGGCGCCTCTGCAGCAGCTCCTTGTACTCCCGCCAGCCGGAGCAGCTCCGCACCTCAGGATCCGCATTCACATCCTCCCGGAACTGCTGGGCCTCTGCTTGCTGGTCCTGGTCTCTCCGGGAAAGCTTCTCCTTCCGCTGGTTCAGCTTTTGGCACCAGGACTCAGCATCTGTCCCTCGCCCAATGACATTGGCCGGGAGCAGCTCTGGGGCTGGGGCAGGCAGGAGGGTGTGGCGGCTGTCTGGAGCCATGTTGGGGAAGGAGATCTGCTCAAAGTTCCAGCGGAGTTTAGGAGCCCCCTTGGCTCCATTCTCGATTTTATCATTCTCCTGGCCACACCCCACATCCTCCCTGGCCAGAGCAGGGCAAGGCTCTGGAGACCCCAGAGGCTGAAAGGAGAGTCCTGAGTCCTTCCTGGGGCTTGACTCCTGGGGCTTCTCTGGGTCCTGGCTATTCTGGTCACAGGCAGGTGGGCTGGAGGCTGACAGGCTCACGGGTGGCAGGGAGTTCTGCAGAGCCTTAGCCTTCTTATGAACAGACCTTAGAGACATGGGAGGAAAAGCAGCGCATTTGCCCCTTGTTACTGTCACCGGGACGTATCTGTCCCACTGGAATGGAGGTGGACCCCCGGCTGGCTCCCCAATCCTATATGAGAGCATCCCAGGCCCCTTCTTAAGCCCTGTGGTCAGACACTCCCTGGAGGTGGCAACGGCAGGGGGATTACCGACAGCTGGAGCTCCTCTTCCTCTTGCCAGTCCCGTCCTCCAGGCACTGGGCACAGCCATCCAAGTTAAGCTGCCTCTCGTAAGGCGACACGACGGAGCTGTGGGGAGAACAGCAGGCAGGCAACAGCTCCACCTTCTCAGACTGGTGCTGCCAGCAGGGGTTGGGAGGGAGCGGTCAAGAGGACAAGTCGGAGGCCAGAGGGAGAGCCATACCCAAAGGAAGAGTACTGGGAACAGCCAGAAGGGCCTGGTCACCCACCTTTGCCCACGTCCCTTGAGTGTCACCAATAATACCAGATGCTCCTAAAGAGCTGGCAACACATGATTAATCAGGCCAGGAGTACAGCTCAAAGACAGAACCTCTGTCTAGGAGGTGTGAGGCCCTGGCTTCCACCCCAGCACAACAGAAAACAAGTAAATTCTTTTTTTTTTTTGGTTTTTCGAGACAGGGTTTCTCTGTGTCCTTTTGGTGCCTGTCCTGGATCTCCCTCTGTAGACCAGGCTGGCCTCAAACTCACAGAGATCCGCCTGGCTCTGCCTCCCGAGTGCTGGGATTAAAGGCGTGCGCCACCACCGCCCGGCAAGTAAATTCTTAATCCAAGTAAATTCTTAATCGCTGGTGAAAAGAACAAAAGGCAATAGAAAACTTGGAAAATACAGGGGGAAAAAAAAGATGGAAATAAACACCATGAGCCAGACAGCGGTGGTGGCGCACACCTTTAATCCCAGCACACAGGAGGCAGAGGCAGGAGGATCTCTGTGAGTTCGAGGCTAGCCTGGTCTACAATATCAAGTTCCAGGACAGCCAGGACTACAACAGAGAAACCCTGTCTCAAAAAACCAAACCAAACAAAAACAAAAACCTTCGATTCCCACAGGTAACATTCTTCTTCCTTTTTTATTTGGGGTGTTTCGTTTGTTTGTTTGCTTGTTTGAGAGAGGGTTTCTCTGTGTAGCCCCTGGCGGTCCTAGAACTTGCCATCTGGTACATTTTTATTTCTTGTACATACATACCACTGTTTCTCTGTATATTTTTGTTTTGTTTCCTGAAAAAACTGACATTGTACTAACACATTGCTTTAAAATCTTTTTTTCTTCCCCACTCAGTTATATATTGTGGGCTCAGACCCTTATCACTACAGCATTCTTCCCTGCTATGAGGAGGGGGGAGAAGTGAGAGAGAGAGAGAGAGAGAGAGAGAGAGAGAGAGAGAGAGAGAGAGACAGAGACAGAGACAGAGACAGAGAGCCCAATAGCAGAGGACAGCCTTGGGTATTATACTTGGAAGCTGTCTATCCCGGTGGCCAGCAGCTCCCTGATTAGGCCAGGCTGGCCACTGAACCCCAGGGACCTGCCTTCTCTGCCTCCCCAGCGCTGGGAACACAAGGATGAACACACAGCCTTTGGGTTCTGAGCTTGGGTCCTTGTACTTGCAGTGAGTCCCCCTCTCCACCACTATGAATGTTTTATGGCTCCCAGTGCTGCATGGCTCAGATGCAGTACAGTGAATCTAAACCAATTACAATTATGAAGTGAAACCTTAAGTCCGTCATTACATCACAGGACATCTTTTTACTACAAGTCCTACATGACGGCCCTGCTTTCAAAGAGAAACCAGTCTGCGAGGGTAGGTCTCCACAGCTGAGCCCTGATTTTCAAGTGTCGATTTGGCAAAGCGATGGCGTTTGCAACTCTTCTTTATTATACAGGAAGTGGGTAGAGGCTGAGATTTGGTTCTGTTCTTCCTCAGCCATGAGTTCGGGGCCTGGCATCAGAAGGTGCTCACTAATACTGCTGACTGACAGAACACTCTCAGAAGGAACTTCTGCACACAGCTGGCCTGTTTCCCTAGGACAGATCCCACTTTGGGGAACCGTTTTAGAGTTTGGGGGACAGACTGTAACTGCAGAATCTATACCAGTTTCTACTGTAAGTCTGAAAGTGGCTGTGGCATTCAGCAAGGCCAGACCACTAGGTCACGGAGGAGATCTAGGCCGGCATTAGAAATATGAAACCCACCCGACTGTCGACCCCTCCCCGGTCCCTCAGTCCTGCGCATGCCTCACAAACTGGCCCGCACACCTACGTGCCAGGCGCTGGCTACTGCAGTTCTCTGTCTCGATGCTCATCGTGAGCTGCAGGTACTTGGTCATTGCCGAGCCGGGTTCCGGTTTGACAACCCGGGAGAAAGTGCAGTGATGCAATTCATGCCCACATGCCCCCTGTTGAACACTTGTAGCTCAGACCCAAGAAGCCACACTGAAGCCAAAGGTCCCAGGTCCCACTTTCACAGGAGAATAGTCAGCCAGGTCCCAGGACGGCAGTGCATGGGAACCAAAGGAAGGACTTACCTTGGCTGGAACCGACGGACCACGTAGCCTAGTCTCTTCAGGTGGCTGAAGACCTCAAGAGAAGAGAAAAGGAAGTCTTAGATGCTCCTTTTGTTTGCATGTTTGTTTGAAAGGCTCTTGCTATACAGCCCTAGCTATCCTGGAACTAGGTAGACCAGGCTGCCCCAAACTACTCAAAAGTAGTATTTCTCTTTCTACCTGGCACTCACTCTATAGACCAGACTGGCTTTGAACTCACAGAGATCCACCTGCCTCTGCCTCTCCAGGGCTGGGATCAAGGCCCGTGCCACCACGCCTGGTTGGGCTGTCGTCCATTCTTTACAGCAACTTAGTAGTTTCTCTAAACACAAGTAATTTCCTATACCTCCTGAAACTTTTTCTCCTATATAGCTCCAGGTTCCAAACCTTGGAACTGCTTGGACCACATTCCATTATAAATATTATCCTCACCAGGCCTATTGGTTCAAGCTTGTAATCCCAGCTACTAGGGAGGCTGAATTGGGGGATCACTACTAGGGAGCCAGCCTGGGGTACAGAGTGAGTTTAAGGCCAGCCTGTGCAATTTCAAAAGTCCTGGTCCCAGGAGACAAGCAGAGGGCAGGGACTGCAGTCCAGTGCAAGAGTGTTTGCTAACATGCACGGGCTGCTGCTTCAGCCCTGCAGTCCAGTGCAAGAGTGCTTGCTAGCATGCACGGGCTGCTGCTTCAGCCCTGCAGTCCAGTGTGAGAGTGTTTGCTAGCATGCATGGGCTGCTGCTTCAGTCCCCAGTAGCACTAAAAATAAAGAAGCAAACACCATTTTCCAAGGAGGTTTCACTCTTTGAATTCTGTCTCTTATTCTGGGCACAAGTGACATTTAATAATTTACTGACAATACAAATCTCAAGACACTGTATACAGTGACGGACCTCCTGGGAAAGAACTACGTCATAGAATATGCTGACACTAAAGTCTAGGCAAAACAGTGGTAGACGGTGACAGACATCACCCCACCTAACCAGCTCTCCCCAGACTTGATGGGATGGTCTCTAGTGAGAGTCACATGATACTCTTGTGTCCTTGCCTCTGTATCAGAGGAACAAACCCAGAAGTGTCCCCTATCTCACTCAATCTCTTCCCAGCATTCAACACAACTGTTTTCTCTTTAAAAAATGAGTGCAGGGCATAGTGCTCTTTAATCTTAGCACTTGAGAGGCAGAGACAGGCAGATGTCTCTGAGTTCGAGGCCAGCCTGGTCTACATAGTGAATTCCAGGCTGGCCAAATCTACACAGTAAGATCCTGTTAAAAACAAACAAACAAAAAAAAAAAAAAAAAAAAAAAAAAAAAGAAAAAGAAAGTAATGAAAGATTGTGTTAGATTCTTTGACTTCGCTTCCCATTTTTTTTTCTCCTGCATCTTCAGACACTCCCTGGTCATGGATGGGTCCTGTCTCTCCACTGACCTTCCTACATCTGTGAGCTCATCACACTCCCTCAGAAACAATGGCTTACACACCATCCAAGCTTACAAACATCCATGATTATACTTCTAGCTTTGACCTCACCCTCCATTCTAGGTTAGATATCTACGGTGTGCCTGAAATCCTGCTGGATGTCCAAGAAGTACCTCAACACAATTTTGTATGAAACAGATCACTTTTGACTAGTCCCCTTCTTTCAAATAAGCGCCTACCTCAGTCTCCTCAGCTAGATGACATCATTTTGGTCATGGTGGTCATACTGGCACAAGCCTCTTGGTCATCCAACCAACTACTAACAACCATCCATTCGTTCTCCCAAAACATTCCTGAGATACTTTTTTCTATTCACTGCCATGCTAACTCAGCTTCTACCTTGTCTCACCTGAAAGAACATTCCAGAATGGATCTTTTTTCTTTCCTAATTTTATCCTCGACCTAGCAATGGTTTTGTTGTTGCTTGCTGTTTAGTAGTTCTGCTTAAGACTGGTTTTGTTTGTTTTGGTTTTTTGAGACAGGGTTTCTCTGTGTAGCTTTGTGCCTTTCCTAGAACTCGCTTTGTAAACCAGGCTGGCCTCGAACTCACAGAGATTCACCTGCCTCTGCCTCCTGAGTGCTAGGATTAAAGGCGTGTGCCACCACCGCCCGGCAAGACTGGGTTTTATTATGTAGTCCAAGCTGTCTTAACTTGTGATTCTCCTGCCTCAGCTTCTAGAATGCTGGTATTACGTGTGTGGTTGACCATAACAAGCACTACCTACTTTTTGTTTTGTTTTGAGACAGAGTCTCTCTCTATAGTCCTGGCTGTCCTGGAGCTTGCTATGTAGACATGGCTGGTCTGGAACTCACAGAGATCCTCCGGCTTCTGCCTCCCACGTGCTGGGATTAATGGAGTGCACCACCATGCCTGGTTACTTACCAACTTTTTATTATCCAGCTGGCTCCATTAGAGTATAAGCCTGATGATCAGCACAGGCTCTTAACTCTCCTATAGCGTAGCACATGACACTGGGCTTGTATCCTCAAGAAACTTGTCACTACTCAATTGGCCAGGCAAATGGGAGGCTCCCTGGGAGGCAACTGATACCTGATAATGTAGGAAACTCAAGGTGTCCTCCGTCAGCAGCAGCTGGTAGGCCTCTTGGATAGACAGTGGCAGGTCTTGGTAGAAGAGCTGAATAGAGCCCTGGAAGAGGACCAAGAGCTTAGTTGTGTGTTTCCTTCCTTCAGAGCCTAAGCCAAACGGGGTCAGCTCCTTGGCTCTGACCCTCTTCCCCACACACCCCTAACATCACTGCAGACCACGACCCACCAGGAGAGAGGATTAGAGTCCCCGATGCTTGTGTGGGGACTCTTTTCTGTCCTCCAAGTCCGCCTGTAAGTTCACTGAAAACGTACAAGTCCTTGTGGTCCACCAAAACGCATCCCCCCCACGCCTTTAGTCTGCACCCCCTGCCCGCAGCCCCAGGCCCCCACTCACACACTCCAGCAGATACAAGGCCTCTTCAGGGTGCAGCCGCTGCCGCCCTTGCTCGGAGTAGCCCATGGTCTGCCAGAATTTCCCCTGCGGGGAGCAGAGCGAGGGTCACGGGGTCGCTGGGGGGCAGAGGAAGGGGGTCCCCCAGCCGCCAGGATGCTCGGGGCGCTCACCGCAGGAGACTTCAACTCCACAAAGCCCTCTTCGGGTCTCCACTCGGCGGCCACCAAGCTGCCCCTGGCGAGGAGTGGGGAGGGGGCGTCTGGGTCTGCGCGGGCAGTCCCCGGCCTCCGCGCAGCACCCCCGACCCCGGCCCCGGTCCCCGCCCCTCCAGCCCCGGCCCGGCCCCTCTCACAGGCGCTCCACGCGCTCCTCCGCCAGCAGCTGCCACAGCTCCTGGCGACACAGGCGCAGCCGCTCGGCCTGGGCCTCCGAGCCGTCGGGGAGGAAGTCCTTGGGGCCATGCGACCGCTGAGGCAGCTTCTGGGAGCGCGAGCGCGCCGCCCGGAGCTCCGCGGCGCTGAGGAGAGCCGGGGACACGCGGTCAGCACCGAGGCCCGCTTCCGGATCCCACGCACCCCCACGCCTCCCCCCCGGACCCCCCGGGCCGGGCGGCACCTGAGCACACGGCCCGCGGGAACCTCCACGGACGCGGGTTCGGACTCGGGCTCCATCGGGCCGCCGTCTGCGGCTGCGCGCGCGCCGCCCAAGCCCCGCCCACCCCCGGAGCCCCGCGCGGTCCTAGCGCCCGCGGGCGCGCCTGCCCTGCGCTCCCGCGATGGCAAATCCGCCCTGGGGCTTCGCGCCTTCCTTCCTACCTGTCCGGCGTCCTCACGCCGGTCGGCACCCGTGTCCCCTCAGTCCGCGGGGCCGGGTTCGGGCTGCAGGTTTCTAGATGTGCAGGAACTCACCTGTTGTGTTTCCAGCGCTCCTGCGGGCCCCCCCCCTCTAGTGACACTACCCGGCCCCTGGGAAGGTGGTGTGAGCAATCACACGCGGGGCCGTCCTCTCTGCAGCCCCGAACCGCCTAGCGCTCTGCCACCGAGAGGGAAGAGGTGCGTGCCGAGCGGAGAGCAGGGCCTCCTCGAATACCAGCTCTGCAAACTGGAGGCCCCGTGGGGATGTCAGGAGTGGTCCGGAGACATTCGGAGTTGCTCCAGGATGGGCCAAAAAAAAAAAAACCCAAAAACCTCTTCATAGGAGCTCGGGAGCAGGGTTCAAAGGCCAGGGGCGGAGGCGCTGTCCGGCTCACCCGGGTGCTGAATCGCCACCCCAGCCTCCAAAAGCACCTCCTCAAGGCTGGGGTCCCCGCCGTGACTCCGCGGATCGTTCCCACGCTCACCACGAGGTGGCACCATTGCTCCAGCCAGCCGCCGTGGGTCGGCGCCTCTGCCCGTGGACGACGGTGGCTGCGGGCCACCCGGGAAAAGATGGGGCGAAGAGGAGGGGGTCCCCGCCCCTGTGGGGTCCTCAGGGCATCCTCTCTTCTCTCCTACTTATTCACAGCCCATTTTCCGGTCTGGACTAGAACCCAGCGCTCTCGGGATCCCCAGCCGGGACACAGGGGCGTGAAACTTCACCTCCCTCCCTCTCACCAGCCCCTTGGCACCCCCACGCCGCTTCACCTGCGCGCATGCGCTGATCCCACTGGCTCGGATCCCGACCGGCTGACGGGGGGCGGGGCCCAGTGAGGATTGGGGCGGGACTCGGGGTGCTGATTGACAATCCGACTGTGCGGCTGGGACAGTCCCCAGCTCCCGATCCGGCGGGAGGGAGGGGGGAGGGGCGGGATTTCCTGCGGGAGGCGCCGAGCCGGCCTTGGGAAGGAGGAGAAAGGGGTTGCGGGTGGGGGGGGCACAGTGGAAACCAGCGTCCAGAGTGCCTGGGACTGAGCACGGCCAGCCGGACCCCCGGCGGGGCGGCCGGGAGAGGTGAGGCTGCGTGGCCCGGGCTGGGGGGTCAGAACCCCTGAGAGCATTCGCCAACTAACTTTCTTGTCCGATCGGCGGGCGCCTCCATCCCTTTGCTCCTTCCGCCTTCCTCGAGCCCCGCTTTTCGTTCTCCTCTATCTGTCCCCCGGACTCTCGACTCTCCGGGTCCTGCTTGCCGCTTTGTTCCCGGGGTCGGTCGGGGCTGGGCTGGGCTGCGGGGAGCTGCGCGGCGCTCGAGGGGCATTCCGAGGGGCGGGGGAGCCAGCCGACCCCAGGCACTGCCAGGAGCACCCTCCCCCGGTGCGGTCGCGGGTTTTGTGGAGGAGTGCCCTCCGGCTTGGGCTTGGGACTTAGGAGGAATGAGGGGTTCCCCACCTGGGCCCCAGGCCTGCCTGAGTCTCATGCCGCAAGATTCTGGCAGCAAAATCACCGCCGCCGAGGAACCGACTTAAGGTTTTGTGCGGGAAGTCGAGGGCTGGGGTTTCAGGTTCAGGCTGGGAGGCAGTTGTGGCTAGCAGTGTCCTAGCCCTGTCCTGGATCTCTACCCACAGAGCCGCAAGGACGGCTTAGCAACAGGTGCTGTAGAACGTCCCTATCCAACAGGTAGACCTCGCCCGGAAAACGAGGGGCAGAAGCTCCCCAGCCCACCCTCCAAGTGGAGCTGGGATGGTCACTTATTAAAGTGGGGCCTCGGTAGTGAGGAGTCTGAGGGCAGACAGCGTGGACAGGGAGTGACCCCTGCCCATTTGCCGGTGCCACTCTTCCAGGCCCTACCTTTTGGCCCCGCCTGTTGTCTGTGGGTGTCAGAGCCTGGGGCTGTGGAGAATGGGCTGCTGTCCTGCCTACCCCAGTGTCTTCTGCTGCCAACCCCCCCCCCCGCCGCGCGCCCAGGGTTGAGGTGCTGCCCAGTGCCATGGGGGCACAGGCAACTCAGCCTCTCCCTCCTGGAATGCCACCCTCTTCTTTTTGCATGTATATACGTCTCTCAAGCACAGCCGCTTCCTCCCCTCCCTGAGTGGCTCAGACCCTCCATGACTCCCGGGACACCTAAAGTGATTTGGGGCTCTCTGGAGTCCTGTCTTGGTCATCTTCTGTGTCCTGTTTCCTGGCTGTGACCCAGCTTTTCAGCGGAGGACCTGTACCTTTTCCAGACCCCCCAGGACTTGTCCGCGGCGGCTGCCTCATGCCGGAGAATGCTGACTGCTCTCTGGATGGGCACTGGTGCTTCTGAGCTAACCCAGGAATATTGGCGGGCCCAGTCCCGGCCCATCCCAAGGCCGACGGAAGCTGCAGGCTGATCTTAGTCCAGATTTCCACACAGCCTCCATCCCCTAGAGACTGGCTTTCCTGTCTGTGGTGGCAGTTCCCGGAGCACCTTGAGGGACTATATCTCTGCCTGACAAGGAGCCCATTGCCTGCGACACCAGATTTGTTTCCCCAGGACCAGGAGTCCGCCAAAGCATTGAAGCATGGCGAACTGACACTTGGTTGGACCCGAGTCTTGCCTCTTCCTGGACTCTGAAGCCCAGAGCCTGGCGCAGTGATCAGAATGGGTCGTGAGCAGGACCTGATCCTTGCCGTCAAGAATGGAGATGTGACCTGTGTGCAGAAACTCGTGGCTAAAGTGAAGGCGGCAAAAACCAGTGAGTCCTTGGTGGGGTGACCATCTAACTGAGGCGTTCTCTGAGTACTGAGGTGGGGTGACCATCTGACTGAGGCTGTTCTCTGAGCACTGAGGTGGGGTGACCATCTGACTGAGGCTGTTCTCTTAGTACTGAGGTGGGGTGACCATCTGACTGAGGCTGTTCTCTGAGCACTGAGGCGGCAGAGAGCTCAGAGGAGGTGGGGGCAGGGGAGGGTCACTTCAGTTTGCAGGCTTGAGGAAGAAGGACTGTCCTGTTGTAGACAAGAAGGGCTTCTGTGTAAAAGAGCCAGAGAGGAAAGTGGGTCCCTTCTTGCTCTGTGTCTCCAAACGAGTCACTTCACAGCTCTGAGCCATGGAATCCTGGCCTGCTAAGTGACCGTACTGAAGTACGTTTGGTTTATGTTTTTATTTTTTACTGTGTGCCAGGCTCCGTTCCAAGCTCTGGGACCGAACTTGTGGCCCTGGAGGTTGCCTGTTGGTAGCTGGCTTTTCCGATGTGTTCTTTGGCTCTATGGGGCTTGTGTATAGGGTGGGAAAGACTACAGACAGTGTCATGACTACCGACACCCCATCCCATGCAACCAGAGCTTCCCTGTATTTATACCAGAACTTCATGAGGGCGTCTGTAAAACCTCTTTGGACACAGCAGTTGGGTTTCTGGTGTTATTGGTTGGTTGGTTGGTTGGGGGCTTTGTGAGGCTTAGAATCCAGGACCTCACTTGGCGCGCAAGTGCTAGATCATCGCCCGCGGCATGTTCCCAGCCCCCAAAGAGAGCAGTTTCCCAGGGCTCACAACACCTTCTCCCCGTTACTAAAGCCCCTTTCTCCCTAGCTCAGCTGCTTGTGTTCCTGGGGAGTGTGTAGCCGATGCTCATTTTCTAGGGGTTTCCACAACCCTGAGGACTCTGTCCCTGCCCGGGCAGCAGGGCTGGGTACATGGATGGCCACTGAGTCCCATCTCTCAGGACCCTCGGTAATGACACAACTGCTCCCACCCACCCCTGGAGGAGACCTCTGGACTTTAGGACGAGCACCCTGAGCTCTTCCAGATGGTGAGGCTGTCTCCTCCAGGACTTTAGTCAGCCGGTACTTCGTGCGCCTCCTCTGGGGCTAGAGAAAGTGTTCCCTGAGGGGAGTGTTCCCTGAGGGGAGTGTTCCTTGAGGGGAGGGTCTCCTCTGTGGCATGGGGCTTTAACCCCAAGACACACCTGGGTCTTGTACACAGGAAGGAATCCCCAGGCTACTTGGAGACATCTTATTATCCCCGCCCACACCTTGGAGTGTTGGTGCCAAAAGGAAAGACGTTAATGGCGTGCACCCACCTGCACAGCAGGGTGGAGACCCAGCCGTGAGGTGGAGCTGTGCCCCTGGGTCCTTTCCTCCTGGGGAATGAGTGAGCGGGAACAGGACAGAGGGAGGTGCTGAAGTCCCCAGGAGAGGCCTGAAGGTCTAAGTGGGAGCCACTCTCCTCCAGGCTCACCTCTCTGTTGCTTTTGGCCACCTGCCCGGTGGGGCCTTGGTCACACTGCCGCTGGCCTCACGGCCCTGGCTGCCTCAGAGAGTGAGGCCCATTGGAGGGGGGTAGGAGGGACTGGCTGGTGGCGGGAATCTCACAAGTAGGCAGGCTTCAAAAAATGTCTTCTGTGTCCAGTGATAGTCTCTAGGGGACGAAGTGCCTCTCCTCAGTCCAAGGTGTGGACTCACTCACCTGTACAGCGTGCAGGCGCAGACTCGGGGTGACAGACCCGAGCCCCCTCATTAAGTCCCTGCACCGTGCCTCCCTTTTTTGTCCTCTGAGAAGCCAGAGAGGCTGGTGACAAAGATGAGCTCACAGGTGACCTCGGTAAACCTTGGCGTCTGTGAAATAGTGTAACCCCCTTGCTTCCTGTCAGGGAGGCATGTCGCTATCCATTATTACACAGATAAGGGAAGGGACACTCAGGGTTAGTGACTTGCCCAAGGTCACATAGCCCTGGGGTCAGATGAGAGATAAGCCCATGTGCTTTCCTGTGTTCCCACGGTGATCACTGATTTCTGTTCCTGTATCACCTGGGGGATGTTCTAAATTCATAGAGTCCCCCAAATTAAAATTATGCAAGAGAGCCTGGGACTCCAAAGCAGTTCTCAGAGAGGGATGAAGGACCCTGTACCAAAGCAAACCACTTTGATGGAGGCATCAGGGCTCCCCTTTTCCTCTTGCTGTCCCGAGGATGCTCCCGGTCCTGAGGGCGCTCCCTGTTCCAGATCCTCGCCATTCACCGGCTTTGCCCCCTTCCCTCTGCCCCTCCCCATCTTCTTTTTCTGAGGTCTCCTTCCTTGGCTGGAGGAAATGGATGGGCTGGGGTGACTGACTGAACTCACATCCTTTGCTTGGGCCTGAGACAGGGGTGACCCTTCCAGCCCCAGAGCCAGGCTGGGGAAGAAGGTTATGCCACGGCGGCGGCGGAAGTGACTGGAGCCGCCACAAGGAACCAGGACCCTCCGCCCTCCCGCCAGGGTCCCCAGCCCAGTTTCTGTGAGCCTCTCCTCCACCACCTTTCCGGCTATTGTTCTGGAAAGAACAGAGCCACCTATCTGGCCCTGCCCGTTCCTGCCTGTGTCCCTCCTGTCTCATTGTCTGCCCCTCCCTGGAGGGGACACATCCAGCCACCCAGCTGCCCCATCCCAGACTCTCCAAGCCAGCGGGCTCGTGAAGGGAAGGCTCCCTGAAGGACTCGGGTTCTCTTGTCTTGGGACCTTGTCTTCACTGAGGCTTAACGAGGCACCTTGGCGGCCAAAGTCGAGCTGCCCAGGAAAGGCCGAGTAGCCTTTGGGTTGTACACTTCCTGCTTCCGCAACTCCTGTTCTTTCCCTACCCCAAATGGTTCTGTATTATAAGAACTGTCAGGACAGAGGGGACGAGAGGAAGGCTGCGAGGTCCTTGCTTCCTCCCCGCAGCGCCCCCCCCCCATTCTCTTCCCTGCCCCTTCTTGGTTCTGTATTTACCTTTTTAGTACAGAGTCCTTCAGCTCCACCTATGTGTGCCTGCCCCCTCCCTCCCTGATGGAATGAGGCCCTGCCTTTCCCAGGCTGCTGGGGTATTTGGGGGCCCACCAGGGCCTGGGGGGCAGGCCTGGACCAGCATGTCTGGCACCCTGCCCAGCCCACTCCTTCCCAGCAGGGTGGGTTCCGGCAGGACCAGGACGCAGGGGCTGCCTGTGACAAGGCTGCTCCTCTGCCAGCACCTCAAGGAACTCCCCAACATGCTCTGTGGGCCGCTGGCTCCTCACCTGCCTGTAGCCCGCCCGAGGGAGGCAGTGCCCACTGCTCCTCTAAGGGGGCCCACCAAGTCAAAGCTTGTGGGCATCGAGTTGGCAGGTGTTCCCCAAGCAGACAGAGAGATCCATGGAAATGCCAGAGGCCAGTTTGGGGACGGCGCCCCCAGTATGATGGCCAACATGTAAGGAGTGCTAAGTCATTATGTTGCCGTCATTCGCACACCCACAGGGGACAGACACTGTCGTGACAGCTTCGGGGTGGGGGGTGGGGGGGCAGATTCTATGATCAGCCTGTTTTTTGTGGAAACCAAGTCGTGTAAGTTAACTGACCTGCCCAAACTGGCGGGGCTGGCAGGCACATGGACTCGGACTGGTGTTGGAATGTTCTATATGGCCCTGCCCACCGGGTCCTACTCAGGGATGCTCGGAGCCCGGCCTCGTCAGCATCCTCTCTGCCCTTGAATACTCAAGGCCCCCCTCCTTTCTCTCGATGCCTATTCCCCTCGGCGCCATAGGACAATATGACTCTCTCCCTAACCCATTCAGGCAGGAATGCCAACCATGCGCCCCGTGGGCCTGTCCTATTGAAGGCATGCCATGCCAATACCCCTTCCCGCCCCCTTTGGCTCTATAAACGAGCTGGGCAGGGGCTCTAGGGAAACCAGGCTGCTGCTGCCGTGGCTTCTCTACTGTGCCCTCGAGCCAGAGGGACAGGACCTGTAAAAGGCCATGGGGCAGGTGCTCTTCTGTACGCCGAAAGGTCGGTTGGGTCCTTGGAGGTGGGTGATGGGAGTGCTGGGTGAGGGTATGTATGGACAGGGCAGTTGATGCCATGTGCCCTGACGTCCCCTACCCTGTCCCCCCAGAGCTCCTCGGCTCCACGAAGAGACTCAACATCAATTACCAGGATGCTGATGGGTAAGTGTGTGCTGCTGGGGAAAGAGTGGAATTCTGGGGAGGGCCCACAGTCCCCTCACTCAGACTGGGTCCTTGAAGTCTGTTTGCCGAGAGCTCTGGGTCCTGCCTGTCTGTGCAGGGCCGGAGGGAGGGGGTCCTGCCCACCCACCTGCCTGTGGAGTTAGCCCTGAGCCAGAGGAGGGGCCCCCCCTTGGGTCAGATTCTTCCTGGGCCCCTTCTCTCCCTGGAGGGTAGGAGCCCTCAGGCTTCTGCTCCCACGGCCCCCTCCTCTGGGCAGGCTGGGTGGGGGATGTAGACAAATGGGCCTCTCAGCCAAGACACTGAGCCCTTTCATGCTGTGGCCCGGCTGCTGTGCGCTCCCACGGCAGGGCCTGGCAGGCACAGGGGGGCCAGTAACCCATCACTGCCGGCCCCCAGAATGAGCTTGGGGTGGAAGACTAGTCACTGACACCCCCTGTTTTGTGTCCCCCACGCCAGATTCTCTGCTCTCCACCATGCTGCCTTGGGGGGCAGCCTGGAGCTCATAGCCTTATTGCTGGAGGCTCAAGCCACTGTTGACATCAAAGACAGCAATGGTGAGGGTCCAGTGTGTCCACCGTGTGGGAAAAGGAGGGTCTCCACCGCAGCCCTGAAACCAGAGCTTGCTCCTCTTAGGACACACTAAGAGGCGGCTTCCTTCTGGAGAGAGTGTGTAATTCAGGTTTCCCATTTAGATGAGGAAGCTCAGGGAGGTGATAGTCCTGCCCTGACGGTGTAGATCATCTGTGGTGGGCACAGCGAGAACTCTGACTTCAGCTCCATCCGTATAAGACCCTTTTGGGACCAAACCCCGGGGGAAGCTGGCATTGCTGTATGGAGCTCTTCCCTGTCAGCCAGGGCGGCTCCGTCCCCTGTCTGGGCTCCCTTGATCCCTCTTAGAATCCCTTTTTCCTCCCGCTAGGCATGCGTCCCCTCCACTATGCAGCCTGGCAGGGCCGCCTGGAGCCCGTGAGACTTCTGCTGAGGGCTTCGGCGGCTGTCAATGCTGCCTCGCTGGACGGCCAGATCCCTCTGCATCTGGCTGCGCAGTATGGGCATTATGAGGTGGTAAGTGGGCCAGCCAGAGGGGATGTGGGGGCCAGGAGCCAGGCAGGGGCCCGCACCCAGCAGGCCAGCCTCCCTTACCTGGCTTCCCCCATCCCAGTCAGAAATGCTTCTCCAGCACCAGTCTAATCCGTGCCTCGTCAACAAGCTGAAGAAGACACCCCTAGACCTAGCCTGTGAATTTGGGCGGCTCAAGGTGAGGCCTGCAGCCCTAGGGTGCTGGGTACTTGGTACTGGGTGCTGGGTGCCGGATTCTGTTTAGTCTTAGGAGGAGGCTCTGACTGGGTGCTGCACCCTGTAGGTGGCCCAGCTGCTTTTGAACAGCCATCTATGTGTGGCACTGCTGGAGGGAGAGGCAAAGGACCCGTGTGACCCCAACTACACCACACCCCTGCACTTGGCTGCCAAGAATGGCCATAGAGAAGTCATCAGGTACCCCAAGGGACCCACCCACTTCCTCAACCTCTTCCTGTGGGACCATTAGTTTCTAGTCAATGCTTACCTAACGCTTTTTTTTTTTTAAATTATGCGTATGCATGTGTTCTGTTGGGGGGTATGTGCATGTGAGTGCAGTTACCTGCACGAGGCCATAGAGCCGAGTTTCAGGTGGTTATGAGCCGCCCAGTGTGGGTGCTGGGAATTGAACTGGGCCGCTCTGAGGGCAGCACGCCCTGGACCACGGAGTCATCTCTCCAGCCCCTCCGCTGCTGTTTCCACCCTTGGTGTCAATGCCACAGCCCCCCACACCCCTGGCAATCAGCTTCTTCCCCTGCCAGCCACCTCACAACTCCTGCCCACCACAGGCAGCTCTTGAAAGCTGGTATTGAGATCAACCGCCAGACCAAGACGGGCACCGCACTCCACGAGGCTGCGTTATACGGCAAAACCGAGGTGGTGCGGCTGCTCCTAGAGGTGGGTATGGGCACGAAGAACCTACCATTATGTGTTGAGAGCAGCTGGGGAGGCCATGGTGTTTTGTGGGGCTCGGGGAAAAGGTCTCACTTCCTCTGAATGATGCGAAAGCCTCGTGGCGGGAGAGCAGACCCGACTGATTTAGACACCAAGGCTGCCTCTTACTAACCCATTCTTAACCTGACGTCTGAAACTTCCTGCTTCTCACCTCTGAGACCGGAAAGTCATAGCAGCGCCCACCTCCTGGGTAGCTGGGAGGACTAGAGGAGAAATGTCAAGCGAAGTGCTTGGGATACATTCTTGTGATCCTGTGAACCCCAGGGCGGTGTGGACGTGAATATCCGGAACACATATAACCAGACGGCGCTGGACATAGTGAACCAGTTCACCACCTCCCAGGCCAGCCGGGAGATCAAGCAGCTACTTCGGGGTGAGTGTGAGGGAGAACACCTAGCCAGGGGCTGGTGGGAGCCTTCACAGCAGGTACCCGGGTGTGGTGGGGGAGTCAGCTGGGGAGGCTCCGTAACTGACACCTGCCCAACCCCTTCTCTTAGAGGCTTCGGGGATCTTGAAGGTTAGAGCACTTAAGGATTTCTGGAACCTTCATGACCCCACCGCTCTCAATGTCCGGGCAGGAGATGTCATTACGGTGAGGGGCCCTTGCATCCTTTGTAAGACAAGCAATTGCTGTGACTTACTTGGGCATCTGCTGTGGTACAAGGCCAAGTTAAATCTCTATGCACTCCTTTATATAATCCCTTCTAAATCGGGGGAACAGAGGTACCATTTTCTTTCTTTCTCTCTTTCTCTCTCTTTCTTTCTTTCTTTCTTTCTTTCTTTCTTTCTTTCTTTCTTTCTTTTCTTTTTTTTTTTTTTAAGAGATGTCAAAGTTGAAGCTTAGAGAAATTAAATGGATTTACCCAGGTCACGTATCGAGCAAGCAGTAGAACTAGGAATAGAATAGATTGTTTGTATGCCCTGTGGTACAAGGAGATTGGGCTAGCATCGGTAACTAAACTTGGGTGAGGTCAGCTCTGTGTGGGAAGAGACGGCCGCTGCCACTTGCTTGGTATAGTGACTGTCCTTCCCATCCACACCGTCACAACAGGTGCTTGAACAGCATCCTGATGGCCGCTGGAAGGGCCACATCCATGAGAGCCAACGGGGCACAGACCGTGTAGGCTACTTCCCTCCGGGCATCGTCGAGGTGGTCAGCAAGCGGGTGGGCATACCTGTGACCCGCCTCCCCTCGGCACCCACCCTGCTGCGGCCGGGCTTCTCCCGGATGTCGCAGCCCTCTGCTGATGATCCCCTGCAGCCCCTCACCTACGGCCAGCTCCCTCGGGTGGGCCTCAGCCCAGACAGTCCAGGTACATCCTCCCAGAAGGCACTGCAGGCCCCTGGGTGCTGGCAAGTTGCCAGTCAGCTGGTAGCGGCGCCAACCCTGACCTTTATGCTTCTGCCCCCTACAGCAGGTGACAGGAATAGTGTGGGCAGCGAGGGCAGCGTGGGCAGCATCCGCAGCGCTGGCAGTGGGCAGAGTTCCGAAGGCACCAATGGCCACGGCACTGGCCTCCTTATCGAGAACGCTCAGGTAGGAGGGGGGTTACCTGGGCCTGGTCAGGGCCTGCCCATTGCCTGTTTTCCATGTACTGAGTAGACTCTTCTTCTGTCTCCAGCCACTGCCCTCTGCCAGTGAGGACCAGGTAGTGTCAGGCCTGCATGCCCCATCCCTGGCAGGTAAATGGGACTGGTATTGGCTGGCAAGTAGAGGTGGGGAGGGAAAGCCATGCCCCTGCCTACAGCGTGAATTAGCAAAAAGAGCTGAGCAGCCCATCCCTCTTCCAACCACTTCTGATGCCATTTATCTCCTTGAAGACAACCTGAGCCACCGTCCTCTGGCCGGTTATCGCTCTGGGGAGATCTTCACCCAGGATGTGAGGCCAGAGCAGCTGCTGGAAGGGAAGGTGAGGTTTCTACTGAGAAATATTCTTCAGGCCTTGGCAGAGAGTAGAGGACTGGCCCTGGGGAAGGTACAGGCCCGTGGGCCGGTCCCCCTCTCAGCTGACGTCCATCCCACCTCACTCCATGCCCCAGGACGCACAGGCCATCCATAACTGGTTAAGCGAATTCCAGCTGGAAGGCTACACTGCCCACTTCCTGCAGGCTGGCTATGACGTGCCAACCATCAGTCGAATGACACCTGAGGTAAGTTCTGTAGCGGGTGAAGGGAGGGCGCAGCAGGCAGTGGAGGGCCCTGATGTCCGTGACCTGTGTGACAGGATCTGACGGCCATCGGGGTCACCAAACCTGGCCACCGGAAGAAGATCGCCTCGGAGATTGCCCAGCTCAGCATTGCTGAGTGGCTACCCAACTATATCCCGGTGAGCAGGCGGACCGGGTGGGGCCCTTGGCTCTTACCCAGGGCTGTGGCCTTGGGAGTGGGGAAGCGTCCTTCCTAGCTTGGGGAGAGCCAGGTTTTGATGGTGGCATTCTTCCAGGTGGACCTTCTGGAGTGGCTGTGTGCCCTGGGGCTGCCACAGTACCACAAGCAGCTGGTGAGCAGTGGCTACGACTCCATGGGGCTGGTGGCTGATCTCACCTGGGAGGAACTGCAGGAGATAGGCGTAAACAAGCTGGGTAAGGACCACTTGGAGGCGGCCCCTGACCCCAGCTATCTCCAGCATCTCTGAGAGGACTTGGGGAAAAGGGGTCTATCCAGGGCAAACGGGACAAGCCTAGACCCAGCTAACCCACCTGCGTCTGTCTCCCCCTGCCCAGGGCATCAGAAGAAGCTCATGCTAGGTGTGAGGCGGCTGGCAGAACTTCGAAGGGGCTTGCTGCATGGGGAGGCCCTCGGTGAAGGTGGACGCCGGCTGAGCAGGGGCCCGGAGCTGATGGCCATTGAAGGCCTGGAGAATGGGGAAGGCCCAGCTCTGTCTGGCCCTCGCCTCCTCACCTTTCAGGGCAGTGAGCTGAGCCCAGAGCTACAGGCAGCTATGGCAGGGGGTGGCCCGGAACCACTCCCCCTGCCCCCTGCCCGTTCTCCCAGCCAGGAAAGCATTGGTGCACGCTCTCGGGGATCTGGTCACTCACAGGAGCAACCTGCCTCTCAGCCCAGTCTGGGGGACCCCAGTGCCCCACAGGAGAGGAACCTTCCAGAGGGTACAGAGCGCCCCTCTAAGCTTTGCCCCCCGCTCCCTGGCCAAGGACCTGCCCCTTATGTCTTTATGTGTCCACAGAGTTCCCCCTCTAGCCCAGCCCCAGGGCCCCCTCCTGGCGCTCCCCGGGCCTTCTCCTATTTGGCTGGCTCTCCTGCGGCTCCTCCAGACCCGCCTCGGCCCAAACGCCGGTCCCACAGCCTGAGCCGCCCTGGCCCTGCCGAGGGGGAGGCCGAGGGGGAGGCCGAGGGGCCAGTGGGCAGGGCCCTGGGCAGTTATGCCACCCTTACTCGGAGACCGGGACGCAGCACCCTTGCCCGGACTAGCCCTAGCCTGACCCCAACTCGAGGGACCCCCCGAAGCCAGTCCTTCGCCCTGCGCGCCCGTCGTAAAGGTCCCCCGCCCCCACCCCCCAAGCGCCTCAGTTCCGTCTCTGGCTCCACCGAGCCCCCTTCCCTCGAGGGAAGCCCGGGACCCAAGGAAGGGGCCACGGGTCCCCGGAGGAGAACACTGAGCGAGCCCACGGGCCCCTCAGAGCCCCCCGGCCCCTCTGCCCCGGCTGGCCCTGTGTCGGACACAGAAGAGGAGGAGCCTGGGCCCGAGGGCGCATCCCCATCTCGGGGCAGCTCAGGAGAAGGGCTGCCATTCGCAGAGGAAGGGAACCTGACCATCAAGCAGCGCCCGAAGCCAGCTGGTCCCCCGGCCCGGGAGACCCCTGTGCTACCTGGCCTTGACTTCAACCTCACAGAATCCGACACCGTCAAACGGAGGCCCAAATGTAAAGAGAGAGAGCCGCTCCAGACTGCACTGTTGGCCTTTGGGGTAGTGGGTGGTGACACCCCGAGCCCCTCTGCTCCCCTGTCCTCCCAGGCCCCCTGTGAGCCCCCCTCAACGTCCCCGAACCCTCCACGGTCCGAGCCTAGCAGCCTTCCGTCTCAAGGAACTCCAGCTCCTCCTCTCAGCCCCCTGTCTCAGCCCCCCGGCCACCACGGGGCCTCTGCTGGGCCAGCTCTGGCAACAGGCGGTCGGCTGCCTGCGGAGACAGAGCCTCCCGCTGCCCCGGCTGCCCTCCTCAAAGTGCCTGGAGCAGGTAAGCAGTGAGGCGGGCACCGGGAAGGTTGCCCTGTGCAGGGTCACATTGAGCCAAGTCACACGCTAAGCTTTCGTCTCTACAGGAACAACTCCCAAGCCTGTGTCTGTGGCCTGCACTCAGCTGGCATTTTCTGGCCCAAAGCTGGCTCCCCGGATTGGCCCCCGCCCGGTACCTCCTCCGAGGCCTGAGAGTGCTGGGCCTGTGTGTCCCGGCCGGGCCCAGCAGAGACTGGAGCAGACCAGCTCCTCCTTGGCAGCTGCCCTCAGGGCAGCCGAGAAGAGCATTGGCACTGAGGAGCGAGAGGGGTGAGCCGGGTGCTGGGTGCGGAGGGGGGGGGGAGAAGGCTGGGCTTGGGAGCATTGCGAGGGGACGCTGCAGGCAGTCTGGGCCAGGAGGCCTCTAGTGGGCAGTCAGAGAGGCCCACAGGTTCCTGGTGACTGTCGCTTAAGACTCATTCATTTAGGCAAAGCCTCTGTAAGGGAAGGGTGGTAACTCCTGCTCCTGGGGGGCTATCAACAGTAAGAGGCGAGGTACAAGTGTGTGGCAGCAGATGCACCCCGTTAAGGTGTCCCCTTGATGTAGCCCCACAGCGACCTCTACCAAGCACATTCTGGACGACATTAGCACCATGTTTGACGCCCTGGCTGACCAGCTGGATGCCATGCTGGATTGAGCAAGACCGGCTTGTGACCCGCCCTCCCATGGGACCCACCGTGGCCTGCCAGTGTTCACCGCCTGTGGCCCATCCTGGAAGAAGACCCTGGCACCCAAGGAACAGGCTGAGGCCCTCCCGCGGCTTCCAGCAGTGGCTGTCAGGCCCAAGGGGGGTGGGAAGGACTTGCCAGAGCCTGACTGGAGGGCCTCAGCTGCAGGGGAGCAAGGCCCCTCCTGTGTACAGGCGACTGCCTAGCTTTGGCCCCCGACAGGGACCCTGGTGAGAGCATTCTCTAGGAGGTAGCCGCAGGGCTTTCGGATGCCTGCGCCTCCCCACCCGTCTAAAACCTCTGCTTAGGGAACTCTTGTGGCCACCCACTGCGCGGCTCCGGGGCCCTGGGAGGCTGGAGGAGGCTGTGCACTTGGCTGGCCCCTCTGTGCAAGTGTACATAGGTGATGTAAATACACGGCAGGGGCATGCCTTTCTGCCAGTGCCCGGTGGCCCTGTCACCTCCTGCCCGTCTGGCCATCCCACCCGGGGCAGCAGTGCTGGCCAGGGGCAGGGGCAGTGAGGTTAACAGATCCCCAATGCCCAAACTTTTACAACTGTACATAATATTTTTCAAGCAGAGAGAAATGCGTATATTTTAAATGGAATTTATTCTATCTATTAACTGCCTGAGAGAATGCAGCGGGGGAGGCCTTCACACCACAGAAGAACCTCTACCCACCTCCTGCCGGAGGACCCAGTTGGTCCAGGTCCAGGATCTGTAACTATTAACCTCTTCCCAACTAACCCCAATGAAAGTGTCATTCCACGTGATTGGGCTGTGTTTTGGATCTGTGCATGAGACCTCCAAATCCGGGACTCTCCCTTCACCCAGACCTTGGGGCACTCATCAGTGTGGAGGGATGATGGCTGCAGCCTTGGGAAGGGAACCTTTCATGGATGCTTGATGAATCCACCACAGGTTTTTCTTAAGCAATTTACAATTTTAATATAAACCAGTTGACATTCACTCCCAAAAGGCTCATTTCCAGTAAAAAAAGAAAAAAAAAAAGTCTCCCAGAAGAGGACACAGCCTGGGCTGGGTCCTCCGTGGATGACTTAGGGCCAGCCGAGGCAGGGCTCCAGGGTGAGGGGGGCCCTTTCCGTCTTCCAGCCCAGAGGAAGGGGAGGGCCCCAGGACCACGGCCAGGCCCCTGCCCCAGGAGAGGGACATGGGTGGCAGAGAGGACACAGCATCCTGCACAGCAGCAGTCACTGCTTCAACGAAAACTGAGGCTGCCATTGACGCGTGAGAGGAAGGTGTCCGGTGAGGGGACCCCAAAGAGAGGTATCACAGGGGAGGGAGCTGAGGGTCCCTTTACCAAGGGCCTGAGGTCATACATTCAAGAGGGCCCCTGGCCAAGCCAGGGGAGAGCCAGGGCAGTCCTGTCAAACCACGGCTCCGACCCTCGGCTCCTTCATGAAAAGCCCCAGTCAGGAAGACAGCAGGGTCTCCGGTGACCAGAGCTGAGCCTCCAGTGCCACGAGGCACAAAGACAAACCCTGAAACATTCATGATGCCAACTCCCCAGACTCAGGGGTCGGTCTGGCTCTAGCCCCAGGAACCAGGGCAACGATGGCCACCATGGTCAATGGCTCAGAAGGGAGAGTTCATGCCCAGCTTAGTTTCAAACTGCAGCTTCTGTCGCTTCTGGTAGCGGACACGGACCCTGGTGAAACAGATTAAAATACACTTGACAACTCAGCCTGGTGATTCAGGCCCGTAATTCTAGCTTCTTGGGGGCTGAGGCAGGAGGATTACAAGATCAAGATGGATCTACTTAGTGAGAGCCTGTCTCCAAAAGTCAAAAGCACTAGAGCTATAACCAGGACAGAGCGCATCAGGGGAGCTGGCTCCCTCTCTAGCACAGGAAAACAAAAAGCCTGGTACAACCCTGCAGACGGGAGGACTGAGCAGGACGTCAGGGCCCAGCCGAGTGCTGCCTGCTCACCGAATCTCATGCAGTTTCACAACCTCATTGGTGACTACCACAAGGACCAGGGACAGACAGCCCAGGAGCCATGTCAGCAGGGGTACGTCCTCTAGGCCGAAGTGGACGCGTGTGTCCCTGTGTGTCCACAGCTGCAGGTCCACAACTGTCTGGACCACCTGGCCTAGAAGCCTGTGGAAGGAGAGAACAGCCCTGTGTGAGCCGAGTCATCTTGCTTTCTCGGTACAGTTAGTTCAAGGGCAGCCAGACCCCCGTCTCCCCCGACCTGTGGTGGCAGCCCCATCCCCCGCAGCCCCTCCGTCAGACACTACTCACACCACAGGCACGGTCACTGCCCACCAGATGTTTGTCAAGGGGCTCTTCCTCCACAGAGGCTTGGTGCGGTGTACATGGGTGATGGAGATGAAGACTGGAAGGATTGACCGGTGGGGTGTCAAGGCTCCCACTGGCCCCAAGTCTGGCCTCCCACCCCGGGGCTTCCCCATTAGCAGTCAGCAGCCCCAATGAGGCAGAGTCCTTACCTGTGTGCAGAACAATCAGGGCAGCTGTGAGCTTCTGAGCTGAGAGCAACCCGTTGGCAAAATCCCCAAACCAGGCTGGAGCTCTGTCGTCATGGCTGCCAGAGGGAGACAGAGGCTCAGCCTCCTGAGGGCCCGCAGGAGGATGGCCTGGGGTGGTGAGGCGAGGCGCCCCGGGACCCACCTGCAAAGCATGACTGAGGAGCAGTTGATGAGGTTGCGGGCCCGGGCGCTGTCACAGAAGCTCTGCAGTGTGAAGCCAAAGCAGATGAGGCAGGAGCTGATGGTGAGGCTGAACTTGAGCAGGAAGCAGAGCAAGAAGTAGTGCTGGGTCTGTGGCGTGAAGGAGGACAGTCAGTCCTGTGGTGGGAAGACCCCGCAGGCAGGCCAGAGGCAGACCTGGCACCTGCTCGTCTTCTTCACGTTTTTGCAAGCTCTCCGCAAATGGTCACGCCTCAGGGAATATGGACCGGAAAGCACATTCCCAGCAAGGCTCTTTCTCAGTTTTGACCACCACCTCCACTAGCCAAGTACCAGCTCTCCAGGTCCCTGACCTCTGCCGAGCCTTCCAGGTTAGGCCTACCAGCCCCAACCCTCACACCTTCCGAGAAGCCCTGGTAACCTGGGTCTGCCTTACTTACCTTCTTAGGAATGGATTGAAGGTTTTTGCCTGTTGCCATAGACATGATGGAGCTATGTGGTGGTTTCCCCAATAGAGAGATGCTGAAATCAATGTGGGTAAAGGGACAGTGATTACTGCTGTCTCCCGACTCTCTAAGGGAACATCCCCAGGGGACCTTGGGAGGAGGCCCACTCCAGTAGTGAGGTGGGACGAGACAAAGGAGCCTTGCCTCAGTACCGCCTTGCACCAGAAGTGATCCCTGAGTCATCTTGCTAGGACACTCTGCGTCCCTTGGGATGCTCACTGGCACCCCAGCCCCACTGGCTGGGCACAGAGGGGCTTTAAGACCTCTCACCTGAGCAGAGGGTAACAGAAGCAGGACAGCCATAAGATGTCTGTGGTACTCAGGAGTGGTGGAAGCTGGACCAGACAAGAAAGGAACTAAACCAGGAAAGACAACATCACCAAATTTGTGGACCCCGAGGCCACCTTGCCCTTGCCCAACAGACTCAACGTCTTGACTGAGAGGAGCAGGGAAGAGAGAAGACTTCTCTACCAGTGGGGTCCTCTCCAAAGCTGAGGGGTGCAGAGGCGTGGCTCTACTGCACCCCAACTCCTCAGACTCACACCTGCCCCTCCCTTACGAAGAGAGGGAATAGCGGGCAGGCCTGGCTTACCTGGATGATCACAAGGGTCAGCTGGCATTGCAATAGGAAGAGGAAGCACTTCCGGATGCCATAGGTGGCGTGCCGCGCCTATGGACCAAGAGGGACAGTGATAGTCCAGTCCTGCCTACCTGGCCTCATGGTGCTCCCGTGAACAAGAGCCATGTGCCCATGGTGCTCCCATGAGCAAGAGCCATATGCCCATGGTGCTCCCGTTAGGAAAAGCCATATGCCCATGATGCTCCTGTGAGAAGAGCCATGTGCCCATGGTGCTCCCGTGAGGAAGAGCCATGTGCCCCTTGTTCCTCCCACAGGCCAGGAAGGCAGGAAGCATGAGTCCTAGAGAGCCCAGAAGTATCATGTGCTGCTACTCTACCTTCTAGGTAGAGGCCCTGGGCCCCCCCCAGGAGCCATGAGACCCACCTGCTCAATGAGCCGGATGATGCTGATGGTCTCTTCCTGGCGAAAGGTCAGGGAGCAGGGCAGACTGTTGAGCTGCCCTGAGAGCTGCAGGGGAGAAAGGCCATCGGAGGCCTGGGCCATGGTGGTGCTGGTGGCATAACCAAAAGTCTCCCAGGAGCATCGGGAAGGGTACAGGGGATCCAGGGCGATGCTGCTCAGTGAAGGGAAAATCCACCCATGAACTATACTCTGTAAAAACTGTCCACCACAAGACTGGAGCATCCCATCCCTTTTCTACCAGACCCAGCTCCCTGGGTCCCAGCCAGGCAAATCCCTAGCTACATGCAGACCTCTCCACCCAGGGTCTGAGAAGCAGACTGGCCCCCCGGTCCCCAAGCCCTCTCTGACCTGACATCACTCTGGAGGAAGAGGCAGCTGTTCCGAAGGTTGGCAGAACTGCCCAGGCAGCAGGTCACCTCCCCATACTCCTGCATGATCTTTATCATCTCACACATGGCTGTGGGCAGGCGAGAGGCACGGGATCAGGCAGAGCTCCGTACAGGTGCCAGCAGCAACCCACAGGCCAGGACAGGGAAGAGTGGGGAGCAGAACCCCACCCAGCAGCATGCTCACATAAACGCTCACTTCAGGCCCCCTGAAATGGGCATGTCCACAGCATCACCCCATTGGGTCCCCAGCTAGTCCCAGCCCATGTTCTTTCACTCTAACTCTCGTCCCCTCTGAGTGACTTGGTGCCCATCCCTGCCGGAGCTCAGAAGGCGGGCCACAGCACTCACTATCAGGGGTACAGTCAGTGAAGAGGGGCACCAACAGCGGCACGTTGTCAATGTTCTGCAGGTGGGGGCGCACCTGATGGATGCCCCGGGGCAGCTTGGCCTGGGGGAAGCAGAGAGGTCAGTAGTCTCAAGATAGGGAGCAGAAAATCGCCTCTCCTGCCTCCTCCTCCTCCTGCCCTTCACTTCCTGTATCAGTTCTTGGCCACTTCAGGGGCAGAGGGCAGATTCCTCAATCGTACCCGGTTGCAGTCCTCCAGGAAGCTGGGGATGTCACTGTCCGTAGGCTGGAAGCTGACAAGGTCTGAGTGACCCTCC